ATGGGGCTAGGGGGTTGTAGATTATAAGATTACTATGGCAATGGGTCATAGTACAAAGGTATTTTTTATGATTATTATTATTATTATTATTATTATTATTATTATTTCTCACCAGAGGATAGCTTTTCCATTGCTTTTCAGAGAGTGGAAATGAGGGAAGGAGGGAAGAAGAGGGGGGGTGGAGAGAGAGAGAGAGAGAGAGAGAAACATTGATGTGAGAGAGAAACATCAATTGGTTGCCTCCTGAATGTGCCCTGACCCGGCCAGGGATCAAACCTACAATCCAGGTACATGCCTTTGACTGGGAATCAAACCTGTGACCCTTTGGTGCTCAGGCCAATGCTCTAACCACTGAGTCACACAGGCCAGGATCAAAGGTTTTAATTCTTATGGATAGAGTTATAAGATAAACACATTTGAGTTCATTTTAAGTAAAATAAAACTATTCATTAAAATAATTACCTGATTTAATAATGTTTATAAGCAAAAACAAATACTTTCATTATGAATTTTGTCACTTATAAAAACACTGACAATTATTTTATTTGACTTCCATAACAGTTCTGTGAAACAAATAAGGATTATAGTCCCCATTTCACAGAGAAGGTAAAGTATGGCACCTAAAGTCACACATCCAGTAAATGGGAGAGAGTAAGATGCTAACTCAACCTTTTCCTGTCAAATTCTAAGCTCTTTCTCCATGTCACATGGCCCTTCAGTATTAGACTGTAACTTAATAAATAAAAAACTAGGTATAATATTGTAGCTTCCTCACTCTTTAATTTTCCTTTCAAAGACCTTATTTTAAAATCCAAATCTTTGGGAATCATACGGGCTGCTCAGACTATCTGCCGATCTTAGAAATACCAAACTAAACTAAACATGTGTAGCTCCAACTCCAGTTCAGGGGTTGAGGTGAGGAACTATTTGTACTGCTCTCTTCTATAGCCTATTGCTGAAATAATTTCTCATAAAGTCCAACTCTTTTATCTTCAGAAGGTGTTTTATTACCATCTTGACTTTATGCATGACAGAAGCCCAAACGGACAAGATTAAATACACATACAGCATCTGTGTTTGTCAGCATAGGGCTTTTATTACCTTTTCCTAATCGATAATCCTCTCACTATTATCTCTTTGACTTTTTAAGCTAGAGCTCTTTGATGCACAACTGGCATTCTAGCATCCCTTAGCAACCTTTGTGGACCTAGAAATAGCTACAAAACTTTGAAAGAGCAGGGAGTTGTAAACTCAAACCAAACAGAATGTTTTTAAAAGTAAACAGAATTTAATGAGGGGTTTTTTTTAAAAAAAAAAGATATAAAGTGATTTTATTGCTCACTACAACAAGCATATCAATTATAAAATAGAAAATGTTTATTTGGACAGATACTTCAATATATCTGTATCAAACCAACTGATGCAGAACTAAAAAACGATTACTTTTGAAGATGTTTGAAAAACTTCCACTTTCTAAAGATTATTTAAAGGCCAAAATAGCACTTAAAAATGGTTACAGTGTCCTGGCTGGTGTTGCTCCATGATAAGAGCATCACCCTCACACCCAAAGGTTGTGAGTTCGATTCCCAGTCTAGGACACATACCTGTGTTGCAGGTTTGTTCCCTGGCCTTGCACCAGTGTGTGGGAGGCAACCAATTGGTGTGTCTCTCTCACATATCTCTCTCTCTCTCTCTCTCTCTCTCTCTCTCTCTCTTTCGCTCTCTCCTCTCTTCTCTCTCTCTCTCTCTCTCTCTCTCTCTCTCTCTCTCTCTCTCTCTCTCTCTCCCCCCCCCCCCTCTCTACAAAATCAATGGAAAGTCCTCAGGTGAGGATTAATTAAAAAAAAAAAAAATGGTTATAGATTTTAATTTCTTCCAGTTAAGATGGAGGAGTAGGAAATCATGGTACTGGCATCTTCCCATGACCACATCAGAATTACAACTAACTTGAAGCTAATATAATATTGTACATCAACAGTAATTTTTTTAAAAAAAATTTAATTTAAGTGGTTAAAAATTGGTGTACCTCCTAATCTCATACAGAAATGGAAAAAAAAAATTCTACTACCAGGTATAAACCTAAGACAAATGAAACATGTGTCCATATAAAAACTTGTACATGACTGTTCACAGCAACGTAATTCAAAATAGCTAAAAGATAGATACAACTCAAATGTCCATCAATTGTTAAATAGGTAAATAAAATGTGGCATATCTACCTAATGAAATATTATTTGGCCATAAAAAGGAATGAAGTACTAATATATGCTACAACATGGATGAGCCTTAAAAGTGTTATGCCAAGCAAAAGAAGCCAGTCACAAAAACCACATATGGTCATATGAAATGTCCAGGGCAGGGAGATCTGTAGAGACAGGAAGTCAGTTATTGGTACTTAGTGCTGGACAGAGGGGAAGAAGGAGGGGATGGAGAGAGCAGACAATGGCAACTATAGGACATAGATTTCCTTTCTGAAATAATGCTAATGTTCCCAAATTAACTATGGTGACATGCATTTATCTGTGAGTACACTAAAAGCTATTGGATAGTATGTGGATTATATTTCAAAGAAGCTGTAAAAAATTATTTAAATAAATAAATAATAGCCCACTTAAAGCACTGTTTTAATAACATCCTTCCTCCACTCAGAGTCTAATACCCACAGCATAGACATAAGCTGTATTTTATCGAGATTAATTTACCTTATTCACTGTGTAGCCAGATTATTATGACCACCTGACATTTGTAGGCAAATTAGCTATAATTTTGCGCTGAAGTTGCTAGAGGGCCAGATCATTATAAACGTCTGCATAGCACAACATACCTAAGTATCATTGCTGATCAGGTTCATCCTATCATGTTGATGGCATATCCCAATGGAGATGGCTTGTTCCAACAAGACAATGCGCCATGCCACGGTGCTCATATTGTGCAGGAGTGCTTTCAAGAACATGAGGGAGACTTTACCTTGCTTAGGTGGCCCCCACAATCACCAGATCTCAATTCAATTGAGCATTTGTGGGACCAAGTTAAAAGAGCCATAAGGCAGCCATTAACCATCAAATCTCACAGAACCGGACAGTGCTATTCATCAGGCATGGTGTTAGATTCCTCACATCACCTTTCAACATCTCATGGAGTCAATGCCAAGAAGAATCGCCACAGTATTGAAGGCAAAAGGTGGTCCAACAAAGTACTGATGGAGTGGTCATAATAATCTGGCCGGTCATAATAATCTGGCCACTCAGTGTAAATTCTAAATGTATAACTTATAAATTGAGCAACAAAAATAATAGTTTGGGTGAAACAAAATATTTTAAAATCATTGGTAGTGCAACTAGATCTGCATCATCTTGCTATTTATTTCTGTACTTTATTTGATTGCACATGTTCAAATAAATTGATTCATAGCAATAAGTATCTATCGATGGCAAGATTTTGAGTTGTTTTGTGTGTGTGTTTTTTCCCAATAACTCACCTTTTAAACTTAGTATATTGTTCATTTAAAGAGAGATAGCAAGATCCAAATACAAATGAGTAAATCTGTCAGCACAAATTACTTTGCTGGTCTCTGCTTTGTTAAAAATTAATATGTAACATTGAGTTTGAGGGTACATTTGAGTTCAATTTTTTTAAATAGAAATTTAAAGCAAATAATTGTGTAATCCTTGAGTCTTTTTCTCAGAACCTTGGTTCTATGGAATAGATTTTGAAAACCTATGACCTAGGTGCTAAAGCCCATATCCCTTAGGATGGCATGTAAGATTTTGTGTCATTTGCACTTTATCCATCAACCTAGCTGCATTTCCTACCAAAATTTCCCATTTCCCAAGTCCATCAGCATCTTTCATGGGTTATACTTTTACCCTGGCTTTTTTCTCAGCCAAATGTGACCCATGGACTACTGCCTTCTAACCTGAATTTCTATTTTTATTCCAAAAGTTAAAATGTTAATGCCCCATGAAGCCTGGTGACTGTCCCCAAAGCACCTTGTATATACCTTTATCATCAACATGTGCTGCCTTGTGTGACAATCATTTCTTCCTCTCAACTGTGAGTTCCTGAGAAAGAAGGACTAATTTAAACATCCTTGAGTTCTCAGGGACTTTCGAAGTTTCTGCTACCTAGTAATCACTCCTTAAATGTATTGAATTAATTAACCCATTAATTAATCCTATATAATAAAGTGGTAATATGCAAATTGACCATCATGCTCTCACACAAGATGGCTGCCCTCATGTGGTCAAAAGATGGTCACCCCCATGTGGTCACAAGATGGCTGCCATAAGATGACCAGCAGGGGATGGCAGTTGGAGGGGACCAGGCCTGCAGAGGAGGGGACTAAGGGGTGACCAGACTGACAGGGGAGGGCAGTTAGGGGCAACCAGGCCTGCAGGGATGACAGTTAGGGGCAACCAGGCTGGCAGGGGAGTGCAGTTAGGGGTTACTAGGCTGGCAGGGAAGGGAAGTTGAGGGGGACCAGGCCTGCAGGGGAGGGCAGTTAGGGGCAACCAGGCCTGCAGGGGAGGGCAGTTGAGGGTGACCAGGCTGGCAGGGGAGGGCAGTTGGAGGCGACCGGGCCAGCAGGGGAGCAGTTAGGTGTCGATCAGGCTGGCAAGGGAGTGGTTAGGGCATGATCAGGCAGGCAGGCAAGCAGTTGGGAGCCAGCAGTCCCAGATTGAGAGGGATGTCTGTCTGCTGGTTTAAACCGACAGGCGGACATCCCCCGAGGGGTCCCAGATTGAAGAGGGTACAGGCTGGGCTGAGGGACACCCCCTCCCTCCTGTGCACGAATTTCATGCACCAGGCCTCTAGTATTAATAATAACTAGGAGAGTGATTATAGTGGCTAAAACTGCAGGTTTACCTAAGTTAGTCAACAGCCAACCCTCTTATTGAGTTGATATTTTAGGTTATATAAGTACTAAGTAGAAAGCACTCTTCTAAATCATGCTAATTTTAATTTTGACTTCATTTTTCTTTAATAATGACAGCACTCACCAACAAAGGAAAGCAGGATGACCAGCAGGACAATGAGAGCGCAGATACATGGAACCAGGACCAGCAGTAGGAAGCGGAGAACGTTAGCAGTCGTCAGCTGCTGAGAGCAGCCATCACCCATGGCATCTTCCTCAGCCCCCAAGACCTAAAGCAAAAAAGAAATATGAGCCCGTGCTGGTTTGGCCCAGGGGATAGAATGTTGGTCTGCGGACTAAAGGGTCCTGGGTTCGATTCCAGTTGATGGCACATGCCCAGGATGCAGGCTTGATCCCCAATAGGGGGCGTACAGGAGGCAGCCAATCAATGATTCTCTTTCATCATTGAGGTTTCTCTCTCTCCCTCTCCCTTCCTCTCTGAAATATATATATAATATATATTTATAAAATAAAGGTGATAATTCTAGTAAAAAAAAAGAGAGAAATATGGAACATGGCTTTAATATTACAAAGCAACTCAGTACATGGCATGAAATTGCAGAGCACAGCCACCATCCAATCAAAGCAGCAGCATTCCTAAAAGATTTTGCTGTGTGTCCTTTAGGACATAAAATGAGGTTTAGACACCAAATCATGCTAATAAATTAACAAATAACAGTACAACCACATTCAGGGAAGAGCAAATCAATATTTCTGAAATGTTTTTCAGAAGTGCATGAACTTTTAATGATACTGCATCTTGATTTTTTTTAAAACACATTTGCCAATTCAGTATTATTCCAAAGGGCCATAAATAACTATGGCAAAAACTCACACTGGCCCAAAATTATAAGCAAAGACTGCCTAGTATACTGTATAAGACATTGGTGAGTGGGTGTAGACAAACATTCTCCAGACTTCATTGTTGTTAGGCTCATTAGTCTTAACCCAAATCTGCATGAATCTGGGTAGAATAAGTTTTCAGCCATTAATACTTCAGCAAGTTTTAATATTACTGACCACGTGTTTAGTGACAAGTTGAACAATAAAAAAGCCTGCCCAGTTGTCCAGTTGAACACTTATGATCCCTTCGGACATCAACCCTGCAGCCTGTCCACTTGTGAGCGGATGATGAGGTGCCATAGTGATGGTTCACATAAAGTTCTTGTCTTCAAATACTTTAAACTTTGCTTAGTTCAATCTCTTGCCAGAAACGATGTCTGGAAACTCGTTTATTGCAAATGGCTAGCTTCATGCAGTGAGTGACTTTTTCAACAGGGTCTGAGATGGAATTAAAAGTGACTTGAATAACTCACTAACTTGAGTTATTCCCTTGATGAAGGTGTTTCTGGCGGTTCTCTCTTGGACTTCGGACTCTTCTGCATGTTTTCCTCTGACAGTTTCAGAGCTTGAACTACAACCTCTGTGTAACTGCCTCCTGAATCTCTCTTGAGTCCCAAACTTCCTTTCAAGTTAAGCCACGTATTTCCAGTGCCTAGTGCTTAACAGCATCTCTCTCTCCTGTAACACTGCCATCCACTATTTACCATGCTTAGGTCTCTTCCAGCTGTTTTTTGTTTTTGCTAATCCGTCCTCAAGCCTATCTCCCATTTCAGTCACCACCTCTCTCCTTCTTTGTCATCTAAAATGCTCAAAGAATTAATATTTATTGTCCAAATTGCCTCACTTGCTGTTTACTCTTGTGGCCACTGCAATTTGGCACCCACTTCTGTCAATTGTACCAAAACAGCTTTTGCTGTGGTTCCCCATGACCTCCATGTTGCAACATCCAAGTGACATTTCCCAGACCTCATTGTAATGACATCTCAGAGTCATCTGAGAGATTCTCAGTTAGCCACTCCCATCTGCTTCAAGCTCTCTCTTCCTCTGACTTCTCTTTCTTCTTCTCTGGCCATTCCTCCTCTTTTTGTAAGCTCTTATCTCACACCCACTTTCTCCCCACATGCCGGAAGCCAATTCCAGCATGTCAGCAAGGGCTGAATCATCTGGAGTGGCAAGGGCATTTCCCCAAACCTAAAAAGGGATGATTGCTTGCTGCCAGACAGTTCAGGGCATCTTACATGTTATTGCCTCCTACTAGCCAAACACCTGAACAGCTATAGACAAATTCTTCCAATCTGACAATGGACTCTGTATAGGAAACCTGACCCTTTGAAGTATCTTCACCTTGCCTTAGGACAAATTGTGTTAATAAAAAGCAAGGGATCCTGAGATGAGGAGATCTTAGTTTCTTTAGCTAGGCTCCTCTGACTCCCAAATGCCTTTCAAAATTATGCTTCGTCTCTGGACTCTTATTTAAGTTACACACAGCCCTTCTCCAGATTGCTGAACCTTTCTAGATGCCGGAACAAGAACCCCGGCACCCACAATGTCACCCACACACATGGCATCAGTCGCCAGCCCTACACATGTGACTTACTGGTACATTTTTAAATAGCAAACATAGACCTTTCCTCATAGCTCCAGACCTTTGTAAATCTTCATTAGGGCCCATAATGAAACCTGATATCACTTTTTAGGTGGCAATTGGCAGACAAAACTGCCTAATTTTTGCTGAAAAACATGGTTGCTTCACAAAGGTTCAAACATAAAATAATCTTCAAAATAGAATACAAATTTTATCAAGACTATATGTGTTACATCAGTAAAACAAAAGGGAAACACGAGTTTCAGGGCTATTCAAACTGAAATACTACTGCAACACGAACTATAAACTATAACAACCAACAAATACTTGTAAGATTAGAAAGTACAAATTTACTCTTGCCCCTGTAAAAACATAATCACAGCATAAGTAATACTAACACAGCTGTATCCCTCTATATGTATAAATATTACCCTTTTCTCATGAGGGTAGCCCAGCATCTAGAACAGCATCTGAACAAAGTCAGGAATCAATTATTACCTGCTGAATAAATGAGTGGATTAAAGCACCTGAACAAAAATTACTCTGTACATAATTATACAAATACTACCTATTTTTTTAAATAATATACGCCTTACAAAGACTATTCCCGAATCATCCAAAAACACTTGGAGAAGAAAATGTATTTGGTAGAAAAGTAAAAATCTTTTCCTTTCAGGGAAAATATACTAAAATATAATAAAATCAGTTTTTATGGGACTACTGAAAGGAGTTTTAGGGGTAAAATGGGCAGGTTTAGGGAGCTTTAGGAATTAGGGGACCCATGGGGGAGGAAGGCATAGTTGGTTGGGGGCTTGGAGCTGCCAAAAGGCATACATTCACAGAGAACAAAAGGTGCCACAGGATAAGGGGAGAGAAAGACATCCATTCACAGAAGATAGGGAGAAGCCACAGGGTATGGGGAGAAAGAAGAAAACCAACTTTCAGAGAGGATGGAGAAATGCTGACAAATGGGAGAAAGAGGAAAACAGGTTTTCACAGGAGACAGAGAATTCTACCACTGATGGGGGAGCAAGAGAGGGGGCACCGCATGGGGTTTACACTTTGAAGGTGATATTCTACCAATTGGAAGGCAGCACCAAGAAACAAAGACATGCAGCCTTTATAAACCTTAGGAAAAGGAGCTTAGTGGGCTACCCTCTAAGTCTGTACTAGTTTCCAATAAATTTCCACCTTTTCATCTACCACCTTTTGTCTGTGGCTTCATTCTTCGAATCCACCTGGACAAGAACCTTGGAAAGAAACCACCCTTGCATGTTGCTCAGAGGAAAAAAAAAACACTCTTAGTTCAATTCCATTCTCACTTTCACCATTATGAGCTTCGAAGTTAGTCAGAAAATTATGTTTCAAAAAGTAAATTGTGGATTTTATTACAGACATTTTAAAAATACCACCTATGCTAACATGAAAATTAGTAGCCTTGTAACTCTATTGACCCCCTGAAAGAGAGATCCCCAGACATAATTGGTACACAGCACTCTGCATCCAGGTAATGGTTTCAGTAGTCCCAGATCAAAAGAAATGCCCAACAGGTTCTGGCCCCTGTGGCTCAGTAGGTTCAGTAAGAGGTCGCTGGTTTGATTCCAGGTCAGGGCACAATGCCTCCATTGCAGGCTCAATGTTTCTCTCTCTCCCTCTCCCTTTCCCTCTCTCTAACATCAATAAGGACATTTTTTTAAAAAAATGACTAATGTGCTCGCTTCGGCAGCACATATACTAAAATTGGAACGATACAGAGAGGATTAGCATGGCCCCTGTGCAAGGATGACATGCAAATTTGTGAAGTGTTCTATATTTAAAACAAACAAAAAAGCAAGAAATGACTAACAGTTCCATTTATTAAGTAGTTTAGTTCAACAATTTTATAAATATTTGTATCCTAAAAACTTAGTAGCCAGGTGAAAAAATACTACACATAAATTAAAATTTAAAAATATTTGCATGTCATTCTTAACCACGATTACTTACTAATGGGATGTGTGCATCTGTTGGGCTCTGCACAACCTCTCAAGCATAGGAATCAAATTGGAAACCACCCCCTGTTCCACATGGATTTTTACATGGGATGACTTTTTACACAGCAACCACCAAGAACCCTGCTTTATGCAGCTAGGATGACAGCAAAAGGAATATTTCCAGACTGCTTTCTATAGTGGTTGTACCAGTCTACATTCCCACCAGCAGTCAATGAGGCTTCCCTTTTTTCTACAACCTCTCCAACCCTTGTTATTGAGCTGATGTTAAAAGGGCATGACTTCAGCAGGTTGGGAGTTGGAGGGAGGTCCTCCCAGGCAGAGAGTACTTATCAGGAGCTGGAAAGAGCCAGGTGGCAGGCATGCAAAGCAGTGGGAGCAATGAGTCTGGTACAGGCAGGGCAGGCCTAGACGGATCTCCAGATCCTGCTCCTCAAAAGGCGGTCCTCAGACTACCAGCATCAGTATCCCTAGTAGCTGGTAAGGATTGCAGAACCTCAGGCCCCACGTGACTCACATGCACATTGAAGTTTGTCTTCTATTCTACGTTAAGGATATTGGTCTTTGTCTCTTAAGTCCCTGGAGGGTCTTAAGCCTAAGGTGACATATACAAATGAACATTTTGAAAAGAACACCTGGGTTGCAGCTAGAGATTAGAAGGGGGCATGTGAGGATATGGGGAAACCAGATAGGAGATTGCTGAAGTACATAGAAAATGTGGGGTCTCTAAAGGGACTGCAAGACGACCTAGTCCAGATATTGCCAGCCTTTCCACCAACCTTACTTTTTATTGTTTGCTTTGTAATGTTAA